TCTTAGCCTCGTTAACTCGGTTGTATGACAAAACTTTCACGAATTCTAACACACGGATGAACAACCGTTCTTTTCTATTAACTCATCATTCAACCATTCATATGAAAAACAATGGGGGAAGACCCCTATTTATAGCTCCTAATTTACTCTAGTCATAATCTTACTTGATCACTAATTAAAGCAATAAAATATTAAATCCTAACACTACTAGAAATCTTAAAGCAACAAGAAAGTAAATATCTAACGCAAGAAAAAAGGCGTACTTCAATGTCGACGTTCTAGAATCCGAATAAACTAGAAAGTTTTGCTCTCCAAACTTTGCTTGCACTTCAAGTCGCCCAAAAACCCTTGCCGCCTCAAGCACCCGCGCGCCGCCCGCGAGGCCTAGTCCTCGGCGGCTTCAGTGTCGCTTGCGCCTGTCTCACACGCGTGTGCCATCACGCGTGCCTCGCATTCGCCAACCTCCGCTCGGGCATCCTAGCCCTTCGCGCGTGTGGCTTCCACGCCCGGCTCCTTGCACTTGGCATCGGCCCAATCCTCCTCTTTGCATGTGTTCGCCGCGCGTTGTTTGTTCGTACGTCTAGCCTTGCGTCTCTTGGTGCACGACCGTGCTCTCTTCCCACAACCTCTTGGCCAATCTCGCATATAAGTGGGCCAATATTCCTGGTCTCGCGGCTCATCTAGCCCGCTTTCGAGCCAAATATCGAGGTTATTTGAGAACTCGTCCTCGGCTCGCTAGGGTTGATGACCTCATCTTCATCATTCCCGTCCTCTTCGAGTACTTTCTTTTCCTCAAGAATGACGAAGTTGATCACGTCAACATACTCGTCCTTCTCATCGGGTCACTCCCCTGGGTCCTCGGTTCGCAACTTGATCCTCTTCCTTGAGCGCCCAAACTCCATGGTGCCTCTCTTGTAATCGGTTGTGACGGGACCAAGCATTTCCAGCCACTGTACCCCTAATACCACATCCGTGGCCTTCAATGGAAGGGCATATAGATCAATCTCTAGCTCTTGTCCTTGGGCTAGTATCGGGACCTTCTTGAATAGCATATCTCCCCTAAGTTCCTCTCCATTGGCCATCTTA